AAAAAAATGTCTTCACTAAATTTGCCAAGGTTGGGGGGGCCATGGCACCTGCAGGGATGCACATAGCTCCGCCAGTGGATACCGGAGTCGTCGCGTACGTCCTTATATCGACGAATTGAGTGCCTTTTTTTAGGGTAAAGCAACACTCTATTCATGGAAAGCCACAGTTTGTGGGATAACATTCGGGTCATGGGGTGCATAAGCCACACATGACGACCTTGACCTAACAAAAGAGAAAATCTAACAAACTTATGAGCTTCCTCATTAACTAAGCGACCTTCAAAACAAAATTACATGTAAAACTAGGGATTTGATTTCATTGCACCATGCCGGCCTCGGCTGCCCTGCCATTCACCAGATCACTGACCACCTGTTTGCCACATCGGTCCACCGGCTATGGGCCGAACCGAGGACCCACCGAAGATTGATGAATGGGCCATGCTGGCCCTGGCCCTCGGCGTAATCAAGATGAAGATCCCCGGGAGGCTTCGCATACACTTCAAGCGTATTTTGAATAGCTGGCATGTTTATTTATCCTTACATTGTAATCGACCATGTGTAAATCCTAGTACCCCCACATGGAGATTAGTCCGTAGAAGCATAGGCATACATATTTGCAAGGTTTAGAGATTAGAAAAACTCATGTTATCTCGAGGTAGATCAATATGTACTTTGTACCCCATCACAATCAATATATAAGAAGCAAGACATCATGTGCCTACTCTTTCTGTTACCATCTAGCTCAAATCACCAAGCTTGGGACCCACTATCCGAGATCAGCCGGTTTTAGCATCAACACTGAGGTTTCCGTAGCTGCTTCACGAGCCCATGTCCGTGTCAGTGCTTGATGATCCCGAGTACCATCTAGCCAAGCCTCCCTTCTCTGACTACTAGAAATTAACATTTTGTACGCCGATCTTGCTGAGAAAATGCCATTCTTTTTTAAGTTCCATGGTCAAATATCGGGATATCAACGGGGGAGAAACACTTCCACCAGCCAATGCAGATCCCACCTTGTCGAGGTGGCATCGACCAGTTCAGTGCTAGCTGGAGTGGGTTATCGCTCAGGCATCCATACCGCTTCATCATCTCGTCTCTAGGGATCCAGTTATCCTCCCATTACTTGGTATCTAGGCCATTGACAATCCTTTTAATTAGCCCCTGTTTGGAAACGTCTTTTCCTTTTTTTAAATCAGAAACGTCTTTTCCTTCAACAGTCGCCCTCCATATTTGACTTGGGCGTGATTCCAAATTTTCTTGCAAAAAAAAGTAGTGGAAGGAAAATAGACGTTCACCCATCGTAGTTTTTTTTAAAGAGCCCCATCGAAGTTAGTTCATCAGTTCGAATCTCACGATTTCAAATCCACACAACCCGGTCAATCGCAAGCCGGAGTCCCCAACACCTTGATCAATCGCAAGACAAGCGGAAGCTATATGGGATATTAAGGGAGAGATATCACCATCGTCGACCAGTTCACCCACGACCGG